TAGAGCCTTACTCATGACGTCATCCCAAGAACCAACAGGCCGCCAAGATAACAGGCGCAAATAAAATCTACAAGAGAACAAATACAAAAAGAAAACAAATAAAAACAAACACTCCTCACAAACCAAAAGATAGGCTCGACTCTCTCTTTGCATGGAGCAAAAATGTCCCCAGCAGAGTCGCCACCTGTCGCACCTCGAAAAATTCATTCGAACATACGACCCTCGCGCGAAAGGCGCGGAAATGCGGTTCGACAGAGTCGCCACCGAACTTTATTTATCCCGAATAACGGGAGAGGAAAATATCGAGAAAACCTCTTAAAACGAAAAGGATAGGAACAGGGCTTGTCGCAACCATGTTCCGGGTTCGGGAGTCGGTTACATGAGGGGAAAGTATTAGCACCCCTCACGTCCGTCGTATTCGACGGGAACCTCTCAAGGTAATGTGGGGAGTGTTGTTTAGGTTTGCTTGTTTTCTTCTCAATGATATAGGTAGAATTGGTAGGTTAAAAAGGTTAAAGATGCTAAGAAGAGATGGGTGGTTTAGAAGATAGGGTGCTCGCCAAGGATTGGGGCCCTTGTGCCTACGTATGCTCATTCGGACGAGAATGAGAATCAGAGCGTCGTAGTTCGACCACGGGAAAGGATTGGGTGGAATAATGGAGGAAGATAGAAGTGTGCTCGCCAAGATTATCGCAATCTTGTGCCTACGTATCTTTTATTCAAAAATGAATAAAGAATCAGAGCGTTCGTAGTTCGTGGTAACAACCACGAAAAGAAGACGGGGAAATAGGTTGGAATTTTGAGAAAGAGACGAAAGAGTGACTGACAAGCAACCCAAGAGTGCGCCTCAAGAGCTTGTCACTCAAGAATTCAAGGAATGCGAGATTCCAAGAACTCAGTTCTTTCGGGAATTGACTGAATAAATTGAAGATAAAGAGTTGGATGTTTTGAAATCGAAAGAATAAATTAATAACAACTCGAGGGCGCGCCTCGAGAGTCACTCAGTCAAATATTCAAAGAATGCTAGATTCTAAGAATATCTCTCTTTCGTAAGTTTTAAAAATGTTTGTGAAAAGATCGAATCGAAGAATGGCATGCGAGGCCAAAAGGAAGTTGTTTTGAAGTAGCTCGACGACGTGTCGAGGATTTTTTTGAAGATGGAGCCGACTTGACGACGTGTCAAGTGTTAGGGCTGTGAGAAGCGATATCAGTCCCTGAGGGTGCTCCTAATATCGAGACCACGAGGAACTGTGAATAAAATGGGTTGCAAATGCGGACGAGCATTCAATTTAGGAGAACGTTTGAGAATGATTGAATTCGAAAGGTTGAGTGAATAACAACTCAAAGGGCGTGCTTCGAGAATTATTCACTCGAAAACACAGGAATGCTAGATTCCAAGTGCCTCTTTCTTTCGGAGTTTTAATCGAGAAAAGATATCGAGAAAGCGTTTGAGAAAATCAAAAGATTGAATGAACAACAACTCAAGAGCGAGTCTCGAGAGTTGCTCATTCGAAGATCCAAGAAATGCTAGATTTCAAGAATCTCCCTCTTTTGGAGTTTTTTGAGAAAGTGTTTTAAAAGATAATTTGAAGTGCAAGTGAAATAGTCTCTACTAAAATTATCATCTATCAATAATTTGACCGATAATAATTATTAAAGTCATCATTGACTAAAATAAGCAAGAAATCGATAAAAATAAAAAAAGAAAGAAGTTAAAAAGAAAACGGTCTCGGGTTTTGTCGTTACTCGTCAATAACTTGACAAAGTTATAACTTGGGGTATCGTCATCGACCATAAAGAAGAAAAAAAGGAATGAAAAGTCCAATAATAGAATCTAACTTCAAAAAATATAAGAACTCTAAAAGAAATTGCATAAAAAGTTCTATAAGAAGTATAATATATAAAAAATAAAAAATTATTTACAAGATATCATTAATAAAACTAAAATATAAAATTTACAAACGAATAGAATAATATTAATATTAATAAAATATTTACAAATAAAATTAAAAAAAAATAATAATAAAAACAGAAAGGATGGTAAATCAGGAAATAGGAGAGTTTGACAGAAAAACGGTGGGGTGAAATGAAGCACATGTGCCAAGCCATGGAATCATATATGGGCCTCTAAAAGCCCATCATCCCTTGCTTGATATTGTAAAATGAGATAGAGGGGGAATGGTAAATCAAATGGGCTATGAGAAGCCCAAAGCACAAATCAACCGCAACGTTTTTGTAAAACAAAATACAAACAGATCTTTCTGAAACAAAATAAAAGTAAAAGAACGGTAATGATATGCTGAAGGAAAACGTTAGCCATTATCTTAAAATTTTTTAACAAAATGAAAGCAACGACACAGATAGCACTGGCGGAAAAAATGAGAAGGAACAAGTTCACGGCGATTTCCATCCCAACCTTCTTCGCCACGATTCGTTCCTTCTTTGTCAACTCTAGTTTGTTTTGTCTCAGTCCAGGTTTGGTTTCGTTTAGCTCCACCCTTCTTCTTCTTCCCCAGTTATTTTGTTTCTAAGTGATTTTGGGGTTTTGTAGGTGACGAAATTTCGACAGTTGGAGTTGCTATTGGTCTGGGTGTCGCTTTTAGGTTGAAGAAGAGTAAGGTTTAGGGGTGAGAAGAATGACGAGTTTTGGTGGTTAATATTGAAAGTTTTGTTCAATGGAAGTTTACGGTAAAGGATTCTGCTTTTTTGTTGAAGAAAGAGCTAAGTTCTGAGAGGAAGGTCTAAGAGGGGAATGGTTTTTTCAGGGTGAAGTTGAAGGGAATGAGGTTGGAATTTTGTGTTATGAGGTATGAGAGATTCAAAGTTAGGGTTGGAAGAAATTTGGCAGGGGTAAACTTGGTTCTCCCAACTCTTTCGAATGAGAGTGAATGGGTTTTTTACTTATAAAGGAGTGAAGGGTATAATGGGGTTTGTCTATGAAATTCTGTTGGTGAAATTGGGAGGAATTGTTGCAATTGTTTTGCTGATTTTCTGCTGTTGCTGATGTCCTTTCTCAGAACGTGGTGTGATGTGTGGAATGAAGAAACCTCAAAATGATTCTCACTCAATCCTCTTTTTTGTCTGTAGTGACGGTAAACAAAATATCTATTTTTTACCCTGTTTTTTGTGTGAATTCTTGGGATTTTCACTGTGCTGATGTGGCTTGGTTTTAACATCATTTTGACTTATATTATTTTTCTTCATAAGACGTTTCAATACCTTGTGTTTGCTGACACTGCAATCGCTTGGGATACTTCACCAGCATCAATTTTTCTAGAAGATATCATTTCTGATCTATCATTCCTAGTTGAATTGCTACTCTCAACAGATTTTAAGAATTTGTCTTTTGATATTGTTGTCTTAAGCAGCTTTTGCAATCACAGAGCTAAAAAACACCTGATTCTCTCAAACTTTGAATAATGATCATGGGAGTCATAAATGCGAGTTAAGATGCCTTTTCTAAAAAGTTTCATCTTTAGTGCTTTCACGATACCATTGAATCATTTCTTCCTCAATAGCAGTTGAAGCAATTATGAACGCATCTCTGTCAAAGTCTAACATGAAACATCTTTTTACATCATCTTTTGTAGGCTTGCAGCCCATCAATCACATCTTGAAGTCAAATCAGAAAATTTGGTGTACGTGTAACGCAGAATAGCAACTTCCAACTTGATCTCATTAGGTGTCTTCCTATAGTTGTGCATCTATGTGCACCATGAGGACGGAGATGATCCTGAACCCTGGCAGCGGCTTTCCCATTTCCATAAGTTAGAAAATAGGTTGGATTACCACGAACTGCTTCTATGTAATTTCCAAAATACACATCCATTGGAAGGTGATCATAGTTCTTCTTGAACATTGAAACCTCACTGAAAGGCTCCTTGATGCCGTCTTGCTCAACACAGCTTTCATAATTTGGAAAAACAACCATATCAACATCCTCAGGAAAATCATGATAGCAACTCCCTCACTGAGTATCCCTGAGTTCCTGTCGGATGTATCAGTTCATCAGTATCCAGATGGATGATCCAATCCATGCCAGAATCCTTGCCATGACAATTGCCATTTCCATGTTCAAAGGTTGCTTCACAAACAACTCATAGTTACATGGTTTGTAGAAGAAGCTTGCCAACCAAGTTTCATTCCAATGCACGGCTTTTAGCTTGTTGTTCCTCTAATTCTCTTGTTCTATATATAACTTTGACCCCCAGGATTTCTTTCTAAAACTCTAGAGACATTAAGCAACGCAGCTTTCCCTTTAACAAAGGAAAAAAAAGAAACTCCCATAACTTTATGATAAAGGATCCATGGCAATGTTTGCTCCAAATCAGCCAGAAGTACGTGTCGTAATACATATCGTTATTTTGCCGGATGGATGATTTCTATGAGGCGGGCAAGGGTGAGCATCATACTCGTAGCTACCATTGTGTTTTGCTTCAGCTGCTACGAGTCACTGTTGTAAGTTATATACCTCATTTACATGACTTCCTTTAGAATTATCCACATGTACTTTGAATTTCTGTTGTTGTTATACAGAAATAAGTTTGTGTAGTCCTCTGTATGTCCTTGAATTTGAGTTCACTAATGACAGCATCATTATTCTCCTTGTAGTGACTTCATTCACGTGGACGATTTCAGCTTCACCGGGTTGCTTTGTGATTTTTCAATGGTGCTGTGGACTGGAGCTGAATGTATGCGCAAAGGTTTTTCATTGTGAATCGTGAAAGGGGCGGCCACAAGTTATTTGTTGATATTCTTCGCGTTTCGAGGCTGAAATTGTGAAGCTATTATGGTATTGCTTCAACTCTTGTGTTGTTTTTTTCTTTTCTAAATTTGAAACTTGATTGTTGCAGGTTGTAGTTTTGATGATGAAGAATGACATGTGAGGTTGTTGGAGAATTTGTGGAAAGGTGAGTGGTAGCTATTGGTTGTTGTTGATGCAGCCTTGTATGTATGGAAGGACCAAAAACAGATTTGACTCCACCTCAGGATTAATGCATTTACAAACTAAAAATCTTTGGGTCACTGATAGCAATGACAGATACAGGAATCGATCCGCAATGATTGCCTTTCCTTCTCAAGGTAGCTCGAATGTGACCACCGAGTGGATGATCAGATGTAGGAAATTCTTCTGAAAACAGATAGGCAATTCGAGCAACTAAACTTTCATGTGCTTCCTGAGGAGTAAGATCAGTGGTCTCTGGAATGATACTAAGCTTCTCTAAAGCTATCTCTGCTGCAGATTGTTCTGCATCCTTCTTTTTCATAAATGTTCCTGACACAACCCTAAGTTCTGGGAGCTGCAATGTGCAACGGTAAAGGCAAGGTCCCGTCTGTGGAATACATAACCCCAGACATTCAGTTTGAGAAACCTCCTTTACCGCCTCTACCGCGTAGCAAGCTATTTTGCCAAACTTTTGGTGTATTATAGCCTTCGGTGTAAGGTTTGATTTTATTAGTGCAACAGAATGATGTTCTTTCATTTCCATGAGAAAGCTTAGAACATTTGTGATTACGAAAAGTGTCTGCGTTTCCGTAATCGAATTATACGGCTGGCGTGTTAACTTGCAAATTGCACGTTGACAGTTGCGAATTTGTGTGCAACAATCCCAAGGTTGACAAGCTCTAGTTAAGGTACGTTTGCGAGCTGTCTATTGTTCACGCTTTCACATACAATGTTCTATCATTTCTACGACGTATTCACCGTAACCGTCACACTAAGATGAGTTTATGTTTTGAACCGGACTCCCATATTGTTTTGAATCCATTGCTGTTATTTTCAGGTTGTGGTGCAATCATTAGTGAATGTGCTGCTGGTTGAAAGTCGGGGCTGTTGCCAGAGACTGCAGATGAGATGTTTGAATATGTGGATAAAGCTCCATGAAGGTTTTGACGCAATGACAGCTGGTAATTTCCTTGGAATCTCCATTGGTTATCAATTATCGTGTTGTTGTCGTTAAAGCTTTGCAAAGGTCTCGGACATTTTGAGCAGTTCTTTTTCATTCCGAGCTGCCGATAACGAACTTTAACCTTGTTCACCTGTTTTTCAGATGCACTTCTCTTCTGTTCATGGAAATCCGGTAACGAACCAAATATATATGCAGCTCCCAAGTTATGATTTAGTCGTCTTCGTTCCTTGGCAGATTCAAATCCTAACACATTAGCTATCGCCGGCATAAGTTTGTTTTGTTTTGAATTTATTTGAGCTCGCTAGTCTCTTGTATATGCAGTTTTTTTGACTCATTATTAGCTAAACATAGTTTATGGCATTATGGTCTGTGTGCGTTATTTTGACATCCTGATGACCCTTCTCACAATGGGCCTTAATATTTCAACCTTTTGATTAAAAACCATGCCATAAACCTTCTTTAAGTTGGTTTGAGATAGGTCACTTGAACAGGGAAGAAGAAACGAGAATGATGGTGTTACTGTTGTATATCATGGTTTTGGGCACAAACTTCTTATAAATTTCTTACCAACAACTTGACTCAATATGTGCCAAACAGCTAGCACAATTCTAGTACCATACGCACTGTTTATGGCTTTATTGAACGGTATATGCTTTTGGAAACAAAACTCTCATCTTTGTAGGAGATCTTGAAACTAAATTGAATACCCTCATAAATTATGTCAAAAAATCCGTATTATGGCTCGAAGCAACCCCCACGTGACTTAAGAATTTTGAGAAAGGGACAAAAATAGAATCATAATCTCAGACCATTTTGGGACTAATTGTACATCTTAAATAATTTTATTGCAACTTGAAACCAATAAGTTACATTCATGCTTTCCAACACCTCACCTTGAAAACGACCCTAGCTTGAGACTTTCAAACAAATCCGGCCATGCACCGAGGATAAATGAACAATGCTCTTAAAACATGAAGGATTATAACCAGAGCCCATTTCTAAATATAATCGAGAATAAACTTAGAGCAAATTCAACCAAGGTCTAGCTTATGTAACCGCATGACTCTATGCCAACTTGAAAACATGTCTCAAAATTGATAAAACTTAGAGTGAGCTTGAAACAGGGTTTAAAAGCACTTGAAACTAAATATCAAGTCTTGACTAATTGCATCTAAATTCAATTATGACTTGGAATTTGCAAGTTAAATCTAAGTTTGTCACAAACTGATTTAGAAACCCAACACAGTCGGACGCTTGTGTTCAATTCGAACAATGCTTGAGGTTAAATCGACCGTGTCCAGATGCAAGTACCTTTGAACAAATTGGATCAGATGCATATCGTAACAAGTAACTTGTACAAGCAACTTTTAGTGAGGCTTACACAACATTTAAAGGGCAGTTTGAAATCAAGTTGAGATAGGGTTTAAATTTCTTGAAAACCAACAGTCATGTTGCGAGGTAGATCCAATCATGTATTTGACGTCACTATCCATATATGTCTGATCGTGAGAACGAGGACACATATGAGTTTGGGTATAAGGGGTTGGAGGCGCGCTCCTCCCACAAGGATTCAACATAAAGTGTTAGGGATTATAACCACAATGTGTACACACCTGGTCTTTATAAACGAAATTTTAGAGAATCATGGCCAAAAGTAGTAAAGAAGTAAGATGTCCTTTAAATACCGAAGTAGGACAAATTTGGGGTATGACAGATGCCCCTATCTAATTTACTTAAACCGAGTAAGATGAACGGCTATGGCGCTCACTCTTTCAAGGTAAAAGACAATTAGATATGAAGAAAACCCTGAATTTGTCCGAAAAGAAAAGGAATGCCTGGGAAAAGATTAATATCACCAGAAAGATGATGGGAAGAGACACACACGGATACTACCACCAAAAGGATGGTAGAGCAAACACAGTATCGCGTAATCTATCATTAATGACCATGATAGACCCCCCCACCAAAAGGATGACGGAGCAAAAAACAGATAAACGATCGCATAATCTGACATCGACGAAATGTCAGACCCACCACCAAAAGGATGATGGAGCGAAAACACAAACAAAATATCGCACAATCTATCATTAATGACCATGATAGACCCCCCACAAAAGGATGGCGAAGCGAAACACAACATATATCGCACAATCTATCATTAATGACCATGATAGACCCCCCACCAAAAGGATGACGGAGCGAAACACGAAACACATCGCACAATCTATCATTAACGACCATGATAGACCCCCCCACCAAAAGGATGACGGAGCGAAACACAAAACAAATCGCACAATCTATCGTTAATGACCATGATAGACCCCCCACCAAAAGGATGACGGAGCGAAAAACAGATAAACGATCGCATAATCTGACATCGACGAAATGTCAGACCCACCACCAAAAGGATGATGGAGCGAAAACACAAACAAAATATCGCACAATCTATCATTAATGACCATGATAGACCCCCCACCAAAAGGATGGCGAAGCGAAACACAACATATATCGCACAATCTATCATTAATGACCATGATAGATCCCCCCACCAAAAGGGTGACGAAGCGAAACACAAGAAAACACATCGCATAATCTGACATCGACGAAATGCCAGACCTACCACCAAAAGGATGGCAGAGCGAAACACAACACAGATCGCACAATCTATCACTAATGACCATGATAGACCCCCCACCAAAAGGATGACGGAGCGAAATACAAATAAACGATCGCACAATCTGACATCGACGAAATGTCAGACCCACCACCAAAAGGATGATGGAGCGAAATACAAATAAGCGATCACACAATCTACCATTAATGACCATGATAGACCCCCCACCAAAAGGATGACGGAGCGAAAAACAGATAAACGATCGCATAATCTGACATCGACGAAATGTCAGACCCACCACCAAAAGGATGACGGAGCGAGATAGAAAACAAATCGCACAATCTATCATTAATGACCATGATAGACCCACCACCAAAAGGATGATGGAGCAAAATACAAATAAGCGATCGCACAATCTACCATTAATGACCATGATAGACCCCCCACCAAAAGGATGACGGAGCGAAAAACAGATAAACGATCGCATAATCTGACATCGACGAAATGTCAGACCCACCACCAAAAGGATGACGGAGCGAGATACAAAACAAATCGCACAATCTATCATTAATGACCATGATAGACCCCCCACCAAAAGGATGACGGAGCGAGACAAACAAAAAGATTCGCACAATCTATCATTAATGACCATGATAGACCCCCACCAAAAGGGTGACGGAGCGAAACACAAGCAAACACATCGCATAATCTGACATCGACGAAATGCCAGACCTACCACCAAAAGGATGGCAGAGCGAAACACAACACAGATCGCACAATCTATCACTAATGACCATGATAGACCCCCCACCAAAAGGATGACGGAGCGAAATACAAATAAACGATCGCACAATCTGACATCGACGAAATGCCAGACCTACCACCAAAAGGATGGCAGAGTGAAACACAAACGCACAGGTCGCTATCACCAAAAGGATGATAGGACAACACAGATTTGAAGTTTACCAACACCAAAAGGATGCAGGCTAGGTTGAACTGACGAAGTTCGACTATCACCAAAAGGATGATAGGAGGGCAATTGACAACGGTCACGCTTGCTGGGTACAACTCATTGGGGAACCCCCGAGAAGAAGATTGAATTGAAATGAGTCAACGGGGTACGCCCACTGTCTTGTTTGGAGATCATCGTTTTGCTGAGATTGTTTCATGGTTACGCCCATGAATTCTGAAGAGGATTCCCCTGACTGGGCTGAATTTATCTTGATGTCTTGGTTTGCTCAACAAAAAGTTGAACAACTTCATGAGGAACGCTCACGGTTTTGCTGAAGATGCCCCTGTTCGGGTTGGATCTTGCACTGAACTTCTTGGATTTGCCCAACAAAAGGTTGAACAACTTTGTGGGGAACGCCCACGGTCTTGAATGGTATGCCCCTGATTAGGCCGAATGTTGATTTGCATATCTGATCAACCACAAGGTTGAAATTCGTCATGGGAGACGCCCATGGTCTTGAAAAAGATGCCCCTGATTGGGCCGAATCTTGCCTTGAATAACTTCAAATTTTGTGGGAGAAACCCACAATTGCAGAAGATTGCCCCTGACTGGGCTGATGACTGCTTTGAAGCTTTTTGAAAATCGTGGGACAAACCCACCATCTTGCGGAAGATCCCCCTGACTGGGCGGTCGACGGTCTTGGAAATCTTCGAGATTGATCCTGGACCTTGACTTGCATATATGAATGCTGGATGATAAATGATATTCCCTACGAGTGGACGTGCGAATGCAAATGCCGGCGTGCGGAGATGCGAGAGCTGGGGGAATATGGTATGATTGGAATATGCATATGATGCAAGATATTTACGAGATCGAATGTGATGCGTATGATGCGTATGATTGCAGACGGGTAATTGGAAATGCAGGTGGAGACGCCAGCGCGGTGGACTTTAGGTAGTTGCCAATGCGGATTGGACTTTGGGTGGTGGGAGGGATTGACTTCCTCGACACGCA